TAAATTTCTTCGACTACAACAGTAAGATCTGATGTAGAGCGAATAGAGCATTTAGGTCACGCAAAGTATGCTACTCCTTTTGCAATACTACTAATATCATGTGTTCGGTTCAATGTGCTAAGAAAAAGATGTTTTATCATCGTTATGGAAGAACGTGACTCAATAATTTAAACTGGAACATTCGAAAATGAGTTTAACATACTAAGTATTTCACAGAATGACGATGTTTAACCCTTGGCAGAAATCTAATGTTCCGGTTGGACACATTTTGTAATTTTTTGTTTTGCTGTCATACCTGTACTTGTTTATTAAAGCCGCTATTTTTCCTAATCGTATATCTGACGGTTGTGCGCAAGAGCGTTGTTAAATTTCGTAAACAGGTCTTACCTGCTTAATTTTAGAGTATGGATCCACGTGTTACCCAACCTACTCATCCTACTCAGCACAGCCAGCCTACTCATCCTACTTAACGCACTCAACCTACTCAATCTGCTCATCCTACTCACAGTCTTGAACTTCAACTTGAAAGTTTATTTTATGCCCAACAAAACATCTCGTAACAAAGGAAAGCACAAAAAAACCAAAGGCTTGTAAATAAAGTGCCACCCCACGGAAAAGAGAGCAAGCGCGAAAAGAGAGTATAGAAGAACAGCCTACTCAATCTACTTAGCACAATCCGCCTACGCAACCTACTCAACGCGCTCAACCTCCTCAACCTACTCATCCTACTCAACGCATTCAACCTGCTCATCCTAGTCAACATAGACAACCTGCTCATCCTACTTAGCACAGTCAGCCTACTTAACCTACTCAACGCACACAACCGTTAAGTATTATAGGACAAATGATTACGCTAAAGAAATGAAACGATATGAAATGAACAGGAAGAAAATACATCGTCTTGTCCATAGTAGTGTACTATCATGCCACCGCTCACTTATGCCGTGTCATGTTGCTAAAACGAACCATGAGCTTTCCATATCGACTGTCGTTTGCATTCTCAAACAGTGAACAGTTTAAGAAACAGATGGAGTCATACCTGGCAAACAATGATTGTTCCGGTGTTATTGTTCCAAAACAAACCGCACAACGGTTATCACAACCATCTGTTAATATTTGCTTTGTATATAGTGGTCAAGGGCCGCAATGGTGGGCTATGGGACGTGAATTGTATTGTACAGAACCAATATTTCGTCAATGGATCGACAAAATCGATGCCGAATTGAAATTAGTATCCGATGAGTGGACATTGATAGATGAACTAATTACTAAAGATGAACATTCATCCCGTATAGCCGATACAAACATAGCTCAGCCCGCAATCTTTGCGATTCCTGTGGCTCTTACTGCTCTATGGTTATCATGGGGTATTGTTCCTAGAGTAATCGTTGGCCATTCAGTTGGAGAAATACCAGCTGCCTTTGTTGGTGTATATGCGCATTTTTCTGCTCTGAATATGAGCTTATTTCGGCGAATGTTCACGCGACATTCGCCCATTGGTGAATGTTGCAAGTAGACATTCATCAATTTTCGTGGACATTCG